TTGAGGAGCCTCATGAAAGGTTATAAGGTATTTCTCCCGCTTTCTTGGCATGCCTTCGTAGTGTGGTGGTCTGCACGCTGGGCGCGTATTCCAGAGGTCCGCAGTTCGATTCCCAGAAAAATTGTTGCTAATTTTTCAGTTTCTCTTGCCTGCTTCCAAAAATACCTAATGTCTCTACAAGGTAAACGTTTATGTTATGTTTCTTTCATAGGTAATTCTTGCCAAATCTCTTGGTTGTTAGCCCCACCTTTGACCGAATGGTCAAGATTCCAACCATTGAACGAGTCCGTTCGCCTGGATTCCAGCCTAGGGGAACGGACTCGCTGTATGGTTGGTTTTCGTGATTTTCTCCATGTGTAACATGAATAACAGCCAGTTTGTCTTAGAAATGCCTTCATAAAGGCATTCCTTTCCTTTGCGGTATTCAAATAACATAACCTACCATCTTAGTTGTAAGAGCTTAGACGATATTTTTGAGAGACTCCTTTAAAGACGGTTCCGTCCTTAAAAAATGCTGATAATTTAATAAACTGATTTTAAGATCGCAAACGTTGTCTGCTTAAAATGAGGAATGCCTTCGTAAAATAATTTCTCGGGGAAATTGACTCATATTCAGTTATGCATGAGGGTAACCACAAAAATGTCCAGGCAGCTATCACATTGGTCGGGGTCGCACTACTAGTTTTATCAGTCTTACCCGCTTAGTGAGTCATGGGCATTGTCAAAAAATAGAGAGATATTATATGTTATTAAACAATTTTTAATAACAGGTATTTGATTGGAGTGACTCATTATTGTTTCGATTCAACTTGTATAGAAAATTATTCGATTATGGAATGCGAGGAATAAGACGATGTTAAATAGAACTGCAAGAAGTACGCAATAATACGCTTTTCTTTTGTTTGTTTAAATTAATAGATCAAAGCACACAGAAAGAACGGATGCTTTACGGTATTTTCTGAATTCAATATTTTAATTTAGTCTGAAAAACACGGAAACGCTCATAACAGCGAGCCCGTTCATCGAAATTTTAACCCGGGTCGAATTACCAATGTACAGCGGTCATATCCGCTCCGCCACAGGCACATAAGAATGCGTATCATATTACTTTGCATCAGCTCTATACATCGTTTCTTGTTAATGCATCAGGGAAATAACGTGTTTATAAAATATACCAAAAAGTACATTTTCGACAAATTACCATGAGGGGCCATTCTATTTCCCGTAAATTTTCCGCTAGCTGTAATACGCAGGTTTAATTCCTGTTATATTAAAACAGGAATATAAATTACATTTTTCCCACGTTTCACAAGCAATACTATATAGAAATGGAGAAAAACAGAATAAATAAATTTGTGATGTCTGGCTCGCACGAGTAAAACAGATTTTAGTTACGGGAATAAAGAAATACAAATACTAGTTAGCTGTAGCATTTAGCCTTTTGGAATCGCTCTAATGTTACCCAACGTCAAAAAAAGTATTAAATAACCTAATAATATCTATGTGAAGTAATATCTATGTGAAAACAAAAATGATATTGGAAAATGTGAGGTGCAAGACGGTTTGCTTGATCGACATTCTTTGCAACCTATAATTTGTGCACAACCGGCACACATGACCGTGTTTTGCAGCTGTTGGGAGTTAGGAGGGCAGAAATCAGGACAAGGAGAATAACAATGCTTTGTCTCACCAGCATCTCTCCCTCTCCTATAAAAATTGGTCATCATTTCTCGACATCAGAGCGAAACAAGAACCTCCCTGAAGTTTATAACCCTAAAAATACTTCTGCTTCCCATTCTTTTTTTCCCTTTTGTTCATCCTTGTAACCTGACAAAGAGTCCCCTCCCGTCTCCCGGATTCTTTCGTGTAGTCGAGTTTCAGCAGACTCCGCGGGAAAATCGAGATTTTTGTCTGTTTACTTCTGAATGGACCGAGATTTTATTGACCCTCATGTTTGATAGCTTTTCTTCTCCTACTATTGGATGTTCTTGATTTTTTGTTGTTTGGCGGCCGGCACTTTGTTAGGTTTCTTGTCGAGTTGTTTGCTTTTTGGATAAGGTGTTTCCTATTTCTTCAATGTCGATGGATAATATATTACTTTCTTACTCTTCAGATAAGCACTTTAGTCGCGTATAAACTCAAATAGTTTGACAGATTTGAATATATTTCACAAAACCGATAACTATTATGGACATTTTAATGCATTTACGATTACGCATATTAAATCTGAAGGCATTCTATATCATATAGTCAAATAAATAAAGATGTAGAGTTCCTCACTTTATAATTCTAAGTTAATGTTGGAAGTGAAGAATCTAAGAACTGATAAGCGAATAGTCGCTTGAATTCGGGTGACAAGAAACAACAAGATAGAAGGGTAACTAACCCTTTATTATTCCGATAAGAGTTAACAAAACTCCGCCTGGGAGTGTGCAAACAAAGCCCGCACTTGGACTTGAACTTAAAATACTTAGCAAGGGCCTGAGTACGGCCGAGCGTAATAACAGCTTTGAGAGAGAGAGTGGCCAAAAAGGCAGACGCGCGTAAATCAGAAACTCTGATTCTCGTGGTTTAAATACTGCTCTTCCTCATTAAATATTCAGCAAGATTCCAAAACTTCGTTCTAACCGGAAGTAGTAAGTTGAAGTTAAGAATTTGACAGGAAAGGAACTTTAACTTAAAATTTAACTATTAATAAAATTAACATAATCCTTACAAAGATAATAAATTTCAGAGAAATATCATGTTCGGTAAAAAGTAAAATCTAAAGATAAATGAAAATAACGCAAGGAATTTCAAAATAGAAATGGGATCAATAAAAAATTTCATTTCTACATTTTTGATTAATTTAGGTCACGCAAACGTTGTAGAGACTTTAGGATTTTTTTTTGAAGAAAGCAAGATGAAACATTAGCAATCGCTTTCGCCGGGAATCGAACCACGGACCTCTGATACCGGCCCAGCGTGCAGAACTACTACACCCCGAAGGCAAGCTATAAAACCGGGAGAAGTACCTTATATACTCCCCCTTTTAAAGGGCACTGGGGTTTTTAGGGGACCCAATCGCCAAATCCTGGGTAAGGAGAATCATCATCCAACACCCTTTTAGCTCGGGCGCCAGTGTAGAGACATTCCGATTTTTTGGAAGCTAGAGAGATGAAAATTAGCAATCGCCTTCGCTGGGAATCGAACCACGGGCCTCTGGAATACCGGCCCAACGTGCAGAATCACAACACCATGAAGGCACCCTACGAAGGCGGGAGAAATACCAATAAACTAACCGAAGTTTGATTTCTTTGGTTCATAATAAGTATTGATAAATTGGGTGAAGATATAAAATACGGAAAAGATTATAATTAAAAACAAATAATTGAAGAACACCCTGTAAAGTCAGGTTTGTATTCCTTCATGGTATTTGTACTGCTTTTGTTGCTTGCTCATGGCGAAATCAGTTAAAGCGATATTGCTATAGATTAAAAGAGACTTCTGAGATTCGGTAGTTTGGAGGTAATCTTTCAGTAGTCAGAACACGCTTTAGACGGTTGCTATGACGGTTGTGACTGTTATCATAAATGACTTCTTTCTCTCTCTCTGGCTCTCTCTCACTCTCTCTCTTTCTATATATATATATCACTTGACTTCTGTGTCTGATCCTGATTACTACCGCGAACGCCTGTCCTGTCAGTTAAAGACTGTAAATATATATTTAAAAAGACTGATAAAAAAAAAGTTTCAGTTTGCTAACTAAAAGGCTCTTCGTCTACTCTAAGCTTTAGAATCGTGCTGTTACATGCCATAGAAAATATTAACTTTTGCTGAATCCTCAACACTGACCATTTCAACTGACGCAAAACCAGCACGACTTACATTTGAAAACCGCTGATCTAATTATTGATTGTCAGTTCACAGGTTACCTAAGAGCGAAGCAAATAACAATCGGTTTCCATTAAAAGGTGGTTCACAAAAAGGCCCTCTTATTAGGCTGATAACCTTCATGTGCTTTCAACGAACAAATGAAGTATTAGTTTAGTTTTACAGAAAACATGATATTTCATTGTGAAACATTTTATGAAAAAATAAGTTAATAAGCTGAGTTATATGTTCGAAGATTCGGCAAAAATAAAGAAAACATTTTTTTTTTCCAAAATAGTAAATAAATAAATAAAAACTACCATTACGCAGTCGAATGCATAAATAAATGCCATAAAAATGTTTTCTTTTGATTTCGCTAATAATGTTTTAAGTGCTTATAAGAACTATCAGTTTGAAGTATTATAAACTATATAAAGTACCTAGATCATTTAAAAATGAAATTAAAAATAGAAATTTAGAAGCGGGTAGATTATTTTATATTATATACAAAAATATATTACGTATACTGAAATGAACTCCTCAGTTCATTTCAGTATACGTAATATATTTTTGTAATATAAAAGAAAACTAAAGCAAACAAAATTCAAACCTAATTGCAACTTTCAAATCTAGGAAGTATCAGCTATATAAGGACCAAATCCATTTTAACAGATAAATTGATATGCTCTTTCATTTTCAAAACTAATCATTCTGCAGATATGCAATAGTTTCATGTTCAAATCTTTACTTTTATCTCTTAAAATTTAAAATTGTATTGTGATTTAAGATTTCTTTTAATCCAAAACTAGACTTGACATACCTTTACGTAATTGTGGAAGTGCTTATGTGCGAATACTGTTTTAATCCCTGTTAAAACTATTGCTTCCTGTAACTAATAGGATCGTATTATGAACTTCATTTTACTTTTAACAATAAACAGAATTTATATTGAATATTTGTATATATTTATTATGTTGAATTTCTTTTAAGAAAAACAAGTAAAATAATACATACTGAATGCAATTAGAAAATGTTAAGAACCAAACAAACAGACACACTATATGCTTTATACTTTTAAATCAACATTTAAGCCGAACAGAGCAAAGCACATACCACATAAATGGATGTAAACAGCATTTCTGACTTACTTGCAACATCTAAGAGCAGAGAAGTTTCGACGTTAAACCAAATCCAAGAAATGTGAGGTTGTAAACGGGTGCATTGTTTTCTGGCTGTTTCTGCTCTCTGTTTCCTTAAACATTTTCGTTTTCGTTTCGCGTTATTTGTCTGACCTTTACAAAACATGAAAGATAAACTTCTTAAGTGATTGTACTATAAAAAGAATTCAACATTATACGGTTTTTCTAGTGCAATTATTACGCTGATATCTTTTAATATTACATTTCCAAATACAATTCTCAATTCAACGAAATACTAGATGAATTAAATATTTTTACCGTTTGTAAAAAATACTTATGTGAAGAAGTCAGTTTTGAATCAGATAAGAATTTCAGCCTCAGCACAATTTAAGGTCATAGGGAGAAATGAACATTCCATTCGAATCTCCTTGAGATCCAGGATCCATAAATTTGAACTTCATCAAATAGCATTCTCAAATGTCGCTATTAAAATCCAATATGGCGAATCGTTACATTCCAAGCATACCATTTGAGCAACAATGTCTTAAGATCAAATTGAAATTCTACAGTTCGTTGTTAAATTCGATTAGATAACATATAAGCAAAAGATTCAAAATTACTTCTCTGATGTCACTTTGAAACCGACACTAAGAAAGTCTGTTCCATAACGTAATGAAGGAGAAATTAGATTGCCGATCAAGTATACCATTTCTACGATTATTAAAACTATTTAAATGCTTAATTCTAAAATTATATTTGTTGAAAATTTTACATTCTCAAAATCTTGCAAACTAGTTTTTCATTAACCCCCTAAAAAGCACCACAGCACCTTAGTTATGAATATTGAGTAGAACTTTCTGAATAAAATAACTACTTTAATAAGCTTATAATTGCTTTAATCAATATTGTACAAAAAATAATTGAAACAAATTATATACCATCTCGATGCATGAGAATTCGTACAATTTAATCTGGATTTACGATAAAACATCATTTCCCATTTAGATCTATGAGAAGACCGTAACTGTGCACACAATACCAAAATTAAAAATTTCTGTTTTCCCCATAGCATTTTTTACAAGTATTTCTTTTATTCCTGTCAGCAGAAAAGTGTGCATTAGCTACAATAATATTCATCAAACATGAAGAGAAACGAATCAATAACTAACATTTATATATTATGACTTCTGCACAATTTTCTTGTTTGTTGGTTTATTTTAGGTCCGCTATTATATACTAAATTAAAATTACTTAAACGTTCCCACATCGTTAAATTACTTCGCTAATCCAAACTTCCCTTATATTACCATGAAGTTCATATCATAATTAGTATTTAATGCGTTTCATTAACCAAAGTAAGAATATCCAATCAACATGTCCTTCTGTATCATATTTCTTCAATAAATTAAGCATAACAAATTCACATGACAATTTGTTCCATACTGAAAACTATTTTCATGGCGGAAGTATGACAGTTCCTTTCTTAAATTCATATAACTATTTTCCCAATTTACAGCTGTTTCTAATTGTACTGTGGATCAGTTAGCGAAACTAATCTGCGTAGCTTGGACTTAAAATAACACTTAACAACTCTATGAAAATAAAACAAAATCTTCAATGTCCATTTCAAGCTGTCATAAGTAAAGACTATGAAATATTGTAGCTAACGATTTTACCTTCCTAGAGTTTAATAGCAATTCGTTTTCTAATTTCCTAATTCCAAATAACCTCTTCTGTAAGGCGCATATATGTTCAAGGTAATATTTTCTGAAGTATGTTTTAATCATACCTAAAACTTGCCCCATTAAAAATAGAGTTAACACATACTTACTCAAAAAATAAGCAACTAATACAAAACACGGAATAAAACAAAAACTATTTAATTAGTATGCGTAACACTGATCCAAGAGGCTGGTGTGGCATTACTAGACGATAATAACAAACAATAAAGCAAAGACATTTCAAAAACGCATGTATTTACGATCATCAGATCGCAAAAGACCAAATGGATCAGAAGAATGTGGAATACAAACATCACACTAATAACGGGTATGATACCCTCTAGCTAAAATGCACGTTTGGAAAACGGCGAGGCAAGCTGGCAATAGTGCCGTTGATCGCTTATTGTGGTAGTAGCGTTTTCCCTGTTTAAAAGGATGCCGGAGTTCGTGGAGGATGCCTGGCGGCATACCACGACCCACTATCTGTCAATTCAACATGTCCCACAAACGCTCTATGTGATTTAGGTCCGGTGATCCAGCAGGCCACGGCAGATGTGGAATGGTTTCTCTCCCGCACACCTCGAGTTCATTGGGGACGGCCGGGCGTCATCGTCCATAAATATCGCGTCGGTGCTCACTGCAGTGATAAAAGGACGCACAAGAGTGTAGAATTTCGTCGCGACATCGGACGATTGTGACGGAACTCCCAGGAATCACATAGATATCGGTGCGGCCGGGTTCATTGCTATCCTAGCTCATACAAGTAAGCCTCCTCCTCTGCAATGGCCTCTTTTGACGATGTTTAACGCCCGATAGCGTGTTCTTGGCTCTCGCCATATCACTGGCCATCAGGAATTGTTGTTAAATCGAGACACATCTGCAAAGAGTTTGGGCCCCACTGCTTTGGTGCCTAACTGCGATGTTCACGGTTCCATTTCAGTCGCGCTCTGTCATGCGATGGATACAAAGGAATACAAACCACAGGTCGTCGGGCGTACAGTCCACCTTCATGCAGTCGATGTGACAACGTTGGGTGGAATATGAGCAGTCGCGCAGCAGCAGAGGGATGCGACGCCAGCTGTCGTGATGTTAGCGATCTACGGCGTCTTGCACATAACAACAGGAAGTGAACGTCTGTCACTGTGGTAATCCTCTGGCGTTCGTATCCACGTCTTCTGTAGCGGTTTTGATTCTGTTGTATCTTTAGGACAATTTACCTCTAAAATTACTTCATGTTTCTCTTCTTGGGGCTTTGTGTGGCGCGTATTATCATTACAAAAACCCTGTAACGCTCGCTTTGTTTTTGTTGTTGGCTGAGTAAGTCATTATCTGCAAAGATGGTTCGTATGTGATTAGAAATGTAAAATAAAATAGTAATACAACACTCCACTTTTCGTTAATTTTGACTTATTTATATAGGTAACAAACACACGCATCGCATGAACCCTTTGGTAACTGTTCCCTAGCCTGTTGATGACACTACAATGCACATTCAGCTCTCTCTCAACAGCAGCTTGTCTTGCACCTGTTTGCAACATCCCGACAGCCCTCTAACGCATTTCATCGAGCAAATGGTACCTTCGGCTCATGCTTTCAGCTTTGGGTATTTCGGATTTCACGGAACTATCGCTGCTTGCAAATTAACACACAGGTCCGGCATGCTCTTTTTTAAGGTATTGTGGTGTGACTACGGGATTGCGGTGTTTTATGGTAAAGTTTAAAATCTGTGAATTGCATGTTTAAAGTCCCCTTTCTACATTCGTATGTTTTGTTTTAGCGTCTGTTGTTAGCATGGATGTAGTTGGCTCTCATGCTGAAAAATAATTCCCTGAAAATAATAAACGTAATCATGCCGAATATTTTCAAGTTAACGAAATAAAGTAATGAAAAAAATTACTTTGAAAAAACAAAATGATTTTGCAGTTTAATCTTATGTGAACCAAATGATGCCCGAAATTTTTCTCTTTCTAAGAATAATAATTTTTTTTATCTATTCCCTATAGATTAACCCGCTTTTTTAACTGAAAATTATTTAACCCATTATTTGGCACGGCTTCTCAGAAGCAAGATATGTTTTCCCCATTTGTTAATTAAAGGGTTAAATCAAATTTTATCTTAAAACTATGTTTCTATTACTTCATAAAGGCAGGACTGAAATATACTTGGCCGCCGAAAAAAAACTCACTCATTGTTAATTTCTAAATCCGAATTTCTGAAGGCAGCCTTTTCTGCCAAGGATTTTCTTAAAACATTAATAATAAGCAAACTTTGTTATCTTAGTAAGTCGTTTTGGTAAGCTCAATGAATGACATATTGAATTTTAGATTTATTATTATTAATTTGCATTTAACGAAACATGTATAGCTCTGAATGCCTGAATCTTCAGAAGAAAACCTACCCATAAAAAATGCAAACATTTATCAGAGAAGAATGTGTCGATTAAAAATAACTAAAGCTTTTTATGTCTAAATAATCCAAACGTAAAAAGTTGATTTAACGCAGGAAATTGGTTAAGCGAAAATAAGAAGGTATAATAACAGAATGCACTTAATCATCATATTTGTTTACTGAAGTCGAGAAATCCGTAGAATGCACATCAATATAGAGCTAAATAAATAAATAAAATCCTACCAAACTAACCTTAAAACTTGTTATGGGATCCTATCTTAATAACAATAAAAATAATTTTCTAAAGTACACTAAACATTGAAACATATGCACATAATTGACAATTTTGGTAGTTTCAAAAAAATATTTAAATGTCTTTAGAATATTTTGTGATTGCCATGTATCTTAATCTTTGAATAACCCAACTTTCGAAAATTCTTGGCTTACAGCAACAGGATCGTTACATAACGTATTTTCACTATTTTCTGCTCAAGAGCTTTTTCGGCGAATTAAATGCTAAGCGGTAGTTAAAAACAGAAAACGTGAAACCCGTGCAGTATTTGGATTTATTAAAAAATCGTTTTAGACAAGGCCTGGTTATTGTTCTATTTAAAATAAATGCATAGTTTTTCAAAGATTCCTCAGGCGAAAGGCCAAATTTTGCTTTGTATGAACATACATATATGAGGTCAACTCCCAGTTAACCAGGGATTAGTCCCCGGTAATCCTACTAATTGGGAGTCTCTAGTGCATGCATATACATACATGCAAATCCACCCGTAAGAAGTCGATATATCAATATACATACATACATATAAATTATATACATACATACGTATATACACGCTGCCCAGGTAAAACTTACTAGCTTTTGGGTCCACACATGAAAGTGATCTTGCCAGCTTCTCATATTATGAGCAACACATCATAATTTGTTAGTGATGTTTACATTGTTATCTCATGCGAATGTCTATGCTACTTATCGCAACTTCATATACATTGAATATCGCATCTGAACGTCAATGTTGCTTATCACAGCTCTAT